TTTTAAGGTATGCTATATTCAGGGGTTAAACTAGAATAGAGCGTATCAACACATCGCCTGATGTTTCCGTTTAGCATGAAACAGACTGCTGCCTCTGGGTGGTTACTTCAATCAATGTCCACTATTATATATATATATACATATATATATATATATATATATATATATATATATATATATATATATATATAGTTTATGCAAAACTAGGTAATCCGTATGGTAGACCCAAGGAGGATGATATCCAGAGAGCTCAATGTAAATTAGAGTAAATATATTTTGAATAAAAACAGACCACTTTAAGGTTCCATGTGATAAGTTATTTCACAACCCTTTTAAAGGACTGCAGATCATCAGACTTTACTTCCAAAGGTTGAAATAAAAATGCATATGAAATAATTTATTACATGGAACCTTAAAGTGGTCTGTTTTTATTCAAATATATGTATATATATATATATATATATATATATATATATATATATATATATATATATATAATTCTACCAAACCTTGGTCACGCGTGATTTTTTTAAATCACCATCATATAAAGAAATGCTAATTTAATCATTGTTACAATAAGTTTGTCTTTGTAATTCACACCTGAGGAGGATTTTGGAGGATATATATATATATATATATATATATATATATATATATGTGTGTGTGTGTGTGTGTGTGTGTGTGTGTGTGTGTGTGTGTGTGTGTGTGTGTGTATATATATATCTTTATATATATATATCGGACATATCATATATATATATATATATATATATATATATAATATCGGACATATAGTTAATAAAAGTATGATAGATGTAATAAAAGTGTGCTATTAAGAACGTATCAATAAATATATATAAAATCCTTCCGTCACGTAATTTAAATTTCATTACGTAACGTCTAGTTTCTAGCCAGCACCTGAAGATTGCGTTCTGCATAAAGCTCCGATGCGTACCCCATTTTGAAATGGGAAATATTAAAGAAATGTCATAAGTATAAAGCGGATAATAAATTTTGTTCACCATACACAGAGGAAAAGTTAACCATCGCTTTGTATAAAGAAGCCGATAATTTACTAAATCTAAAATCTGAACTCTTGAGTAAATGTAGGCATAGGAAACGCTGGTTAGTAGAATAGCTTAGTTTTTTTTTGTTTTTTTTGCTTTTTCTTTTTGTTTGTGTGTTTGTTATTGAATAAATATGAATTGTCCCCCTCCCGTTGTTGAGTTAATGTGGTCATGGTTGTTTTTATGTTGTAGGCTATATATATTCTGTTCCAATTTTATGTCTTTGGTCGGCGTAACCTGACGATCCGCGTAGGTGAAACCTAAGTAGGTTTGTCTGGCTCTTTAGGTTCATAGTTACATTTGCTGTACTTAGTGAATTGAGCATTTTGCTTAGTTATTTTTACTTTACTAGTGTTGGAAGTTTTTTCTTTGGACTGAGCTTGGATTCTGTTCGACTGTTTTCGCCTCAATTCCATGTTCTTTTTTATTCCTTATTTTTCCTTGGCTATTACTTCGTTCATTTACAAGCCAAAACACTTAAGGTTTTTCCAGACGTGTGTAATTACTTATATATATATATATATATATATCACTATTGATAATAAATATCTCACAGTCTCTGTATATTTGTATTTTATGTGCCTATTTATCTAACGATATATCTATTTATCTATCTCAGAGTCTGTACATATTCTTTCCATCTCTCTCACAGACTATCCAGAATTTAGCTATCTGTTCATAATCTATCTCACAGTCTTTGCATTATCTATCTATCTATCTATCTATCTATCTATCTATCTATCTATCTATCTATCTATCTATCTATCTATCTATCTCACTGTCTGTTCATTTTGTATCTATCTTTCTCACAGTCTGTTCTCATCTATGAACAGTTGTTGAGTTATATCTTGCAATGAAAGTTCGTGGAATTAAAGAAATTAGTAAATTTCAACAAGGGCAAATAATAGGAATGCATCAGTGTGGCAAGTGAAGTAGAGAAATTGCTAGGTTTCCCAGGTTAATCATCAAACGGTTAATGCTATTGTCAAGAAATTTAATTAAGAAGACCTTTGTTGTGTGAAATAACGTTCGGGAAGACCAAGCATTGTGTCTGAGCAAAAGAAAATGGCGCTGGATAGGGAAGTCATCAGAAAGCGTCGTCAGGGAGCCAAAGACGTCGCCAACAGCATGAAAATGTCGCCATATGCGATGAGAAAGATTTAGAATGAGCTAGGCTATCAAAGAAGACTTTCAAGAAAGAAGCCCTTAATTTCACAGGCTAACAGGAGCCTTCGTATGGAGTGGGCGGGAGAATTCCTGACCAAATATTATGAATTTTGGCAATCTGTAATTTGGTCAGATGAAATTAATTCTGCCAATATTCGAATTTGAGACAGGTTGATGTTTGGAGAAATCAGAACGAGACTTGGATCTCTGAAACATGGAGAGATTGAAGTAATGGTGTAGGGCGCTGTCTCGTTTGGAGGGAAATCTGAGTTGATTTTTGTTGAGCGGTTGAATGGTCAAAAATATTAGAGAAAGGACTACTCCGACTATTTGAAACCAATCAGATCGACAAGAATGTCTCCCTATTTCAAGAAGATGGAGCGCCATGTCATACGACTAACGTAGCAAAGTCCTGGAAGGAATCGCAAGGAATCAAGTCACTGCCATGGGTAGCCCAAAGTCCTGACATGAAACCAATAAAGCACGTTTGGGAACATCTTGACCGAAGACTTCGAGAGCGTGCAACCAAAATCACATCAGTGGCAACCCTTAAAGTAACATTGCTAAAGGAGTGGCAAAATATAGATCAGACGATTGTTGATAACTTGATCAAATCTATGAAAAATCGAATACAAGCACTGAAACTAGCAAGTGAAGGACCTACTCTATACTAGTTCCAAATACTGTTTATTTATGTTGAATAGGCATTGACTAATTAAATTTTGAAATTGGATGTAGTTTATTTCTCCTGGCTAAAAAAACTTTTCTTAGGTCGCTATATCTATCTATATATACACATACATAATATATATATATATATATATATATATATATATATATATATATATATATATGACACTATCTAGTTCATAATCTCACATTCTGTTTATAGACATTCTATTTATCATTCTATCTATCGATTTTCTATTTATGTATCAATCTCAAAGTCTGTTCATATTCTTTCCATCTATCTCACTGTTTGTTCATACTCTATCTATGTATCTCTCTCTATCTGTATATATATATATATATATATATATATATATATATATATATATACATACATCACACAGTCTGTTCATAATCTATCTATCTCACAGTGTTTATTATTATCTATCTATCTATCTATCTATCTATCTATCTATCTCTCTCTATATATATATATATATATATATATATATATATATATATATATATATCTCAAAGTATGTTCATTATGTATGTATGTATCTAACCATCTATCTATCTTACTGTTGATTATCTCTCTGTCTCACATTCTTTTCGTAATCTATCTATCTATCTATCTATCTATCTATCTATCTATCTATCTATCTTCACTTCCGGAATGAAAATTTACGAAGTGAGCTCTCCCCGTCGACTGCAGGCACGCTGATGGACGACGGTGGCGGTAGGTCACCCACGACTCAGAGCCGTCCAGCAGGGTGGTAAGTATGACGGCTCTATAGACGCTGAACTTGGTGCTGTTCTTCAGATGCTTGGTGTGTTCCAGACTCTTTTGTAGAGTCTGCCAAAAGCGCTGTTTGTCTTGGCCAGTCTGTTGTCTACTTCCCTGTCTATTCTTTGTATCTGATGTGATGTGTACTGGTGAACTGCTTTCAGCTTAGTCACGCCGATGTTGATGTAGGGAGGGCGGTACATTTCTAGGGGTGCAGGCAGGTGTAGTACCTCCGTCTTCTTCAACTTGATCTCCTGTCCGAAGAGCCGGGCAGCCTCTGCAAAGCAGTATGTTAGGCGCTGCTGGGCTCTTTCGGCGTGGGAGACGATGGCAGCGTCGTCAGCGGAGGTCACAGAACAGCTGCTCAAGTGTCTCTGTGTGGGCCTTCAGTCTCCTGAGGTTAAATAGATTGTCATCAAGTCGGTATCGGGTGTACACAGCATCGTCATCCGTAAGGTCTTCTGTGGTCTGTTTAAGCATCATGCTGGAAAAGATGCTAAACTGAATCGGTACCATGACACAGCACCCTTTCACGCCGTTGACGATGGGGAAGGGTACGGATAGGTCGCTGTTCAAGCTGACTTGGCCGCGCTTGTCTTTGTGCAGTGGGATGACCATGCTAAGGAAGTTTGGGGACAGCCGAAGCGCTCCATGGTCATCTACAACCCCTTTCTGCTTACTGTTTCAAATTCTTTGGTTAAGTCGACAAACTTTACGTACAGTCCTTTGTTCTATTTCCAGCGTTTCTTTTGAAGCTGCCTGAGGACAAACCTCATGTCTGTAGGGGTCCTGTTGGCTCTGAAGCCACACTGGGTTTCTGGTAGGTGGTCTTCAGTGTTGGTGGGCACCAATCTGTTCGGGAGCAAACGAACAAGGTTTTCCCCTGCGATGGAGAGCAGATTGATCTCGCAGATGTTGGAGCAATCTGACCTTTTCCTCTTGCTTTTGTACAATGTGATGATGACTACAATTAGTAATTTCATCCAATTCTGCCTCGACTGGTTGCTGGGGAATGCGGAGGGATGCTGGGTCATGAATGACTCGATCATCGCTAAAGAGGGCCTGGAAGTACTCAGACCAACTTCTCAGGATGGATGACTTGTCTGTGAAAAGCACCTGTACATCCGCATGGCGCAAGGGACTCTGGACCCGGTGGGTCGGACCATACACTGCCATGAGAGCTTCGTAGAAGCCTCTGTAGTCACCTAGGTCTGCGCATAGCTGAGTTCTCAAAGTTTAGATTGAGTATGCATTCAGGTTGTTTTAAGACTGGTTTTTTGCAAGAAGATGGTGTCGGTATTGATAAGTCGCTACTCAGTGCAAATCTCCAGTAGCATGCGCCCGTTGCCATTGCAGTTACCAATGCCGTGTGTGCCAAGTACTCCTTTCCAGGCAACTGCATCTTGACCCACTCTGGCAAAGAAATCGCAATTGTCGTCTGCAAATGTGCTTTGGAGAAGGCTGCGGAGCTCAGAGTAGAACTTGTTTTTTTTTTCTGCGGGTTCAGCTTGTAGAGTTGGAGCGTATACATTGAAAAGCGTGACATATTGATTGTTCTTCAGAGGGAGACACATGGACATCATGCAGTCGTAATGACTGGTTGGCTGATTTTCTAGCCTGTCAGCAATGAAGATGCTGACCATGCAGCCGAGGCCTGAAATACGCCCATCTGTTGCACGTTTCCTTAAACAGAAGAACGTGTATCCGACGCCATGCTCCGGGAGGCTGCCTTCGCCTAGAAAGTGGACGTCGCTAAGGGTAGCAATGTCGACATTTAACCTGGACAGTTCACGTGTGATCAGCGCTGAGCGACGTTCAGGTCGGTTACCTTGAACTGCATCAAACATGGTTATGACATTCCAGCATGCGAGTTTCACCGTTTTTGCATCCTTTAAGTTGGTTGCCTTCCTGGATTTAGTGTTGTTCGACGGCTTGAGAAGATGTCCGTTGACCGCAACAAGCCAACTAGGGGATGAGAGACGAGTTTTGGTTAGGTCACGTTTTTTCAGGTAGAGCGCAGTACTGGCATCGATCTTCAAAGCATTCACAGCAAAAAATCAAATCATATGTGTTGGTAAACTGGCGGTTCAGGGGTAAAACTGAACAGTTCCGCTCTCATACTTCGAATTGTACAGGAGAGTCAAAAATATATATATATAGTTATCCAGAGACACTGTTTCACAGCTCCTCAGTCTAATGCTTCGGACCAAGGTCGAAACCCGACTCATCTGACATCAGTCAGATATCCTACATGTAGGCCATCGTCGCACGGCAGAAAGGGAGGGAATTTTAACGTTTCTTCTCTACGACAGCGGCTCGGATAACTCAGTTCATACTTGTAGAGTAATGCCTCATAGAATTACAAGTCGCTGTTTTTACCCCCCCCTCTTTCCTTAGAGAGATCAACCAGATATTCGGGAGTATATATATATATATATATATATATATATACGTGTGTGTGTGTGTCTGTGTGTGTGTGTGTGTGTGTGTGTGTGTATTTTAAAGAAAAACAAACCACTTTAAGGTACTATTATAATAATTTATTTAACGAGAGCCCTTTTAAAGGACGCCGTATCATCAGATAGCACTTCCAAAAATGAAATTAAAATTGATGGGTAGTGTAAGTTTTTGTAATTTAACAGAGAGTGTAAAAGGAATAGTTAAAGAGACATGGTAGAGTATAGGGAGGGATTAATTTCATATCTCTCTCAAGTATACTTTGTATTGGGGGAGGAGGAGTGACCATACCATGACCTATTTAAACGGTTACTTAACGGAAGTGATATATTGAAATGGGAGGGGAGTAGGGAGAAAAGAAAGAAGAGGGAGAGGGAAGTAAAGAGAAAGAGGCTGTAATTGGGTTTTAGCAATTAATGTAAAGAATAGATTTTAATACTCGATACTAATTTAGATGTCTAAAAAAAACCGAAGAAATTAATTTGATGCTTGCTAGCAATTTAAATATTTAACTATTTGACATTTTTACAAATAATTTAGGGTTTTAATATATGATAAATACTGTATTTATTAACACATTTATAGAGAACATATTAAGAAAATTTTAAACTATATCAGTTTGTTTGCACGACTAATAATACCTTTTTAATATTGTAAAAGACAGTTACGGTAACATCTTTATCAGTTTGAATCTAAAATATTAGCTCTGGATTTACATTGAGCTCTCAGGATCCCATACTCCTTGGGATTACCCATATGGATTACCAAGTTTTTCATACCAGGCTGACGCAATTCGCAAATATAAATATATCGAAACAAATAGATATCCTTGAAAAAATTGGAAAAAAAAAAGAAAAAACTAGAAACATCTGAGCAGAGCGAAAAAAAAAATCGTCTAGTGCTTTAATTTTCAGAAAAAAACAAAAAAAAATCAAGTAAATAAGATAAAACGTCGAGCTGTTATATACTCTTCAGCCAGGTTGCCCTGAATAACCATTTAGGTGTAACGTAGGTAGATAGTTCCTGGCTCCTTAGTATTATATATATATATATATATATATATATATATATATATATATATATATATATATGTGTGTGTGTGTATATATATATATATATATATATATATATATATATATATATATATATCGGAATAATGTGTTGATACCACAGAATGAATAGATAGATTTGAATAAATATAATTTTAAGCTGATTTTTTATTGTTAGGACCCAGGTAACTTTCGACCAATGCTTCTTCTTCAAGGACCTATCGTTGGCCCAACTGAAGTGATTAGACTGCAAATATGCAGGAAAATTCTTGAAGAAAAGGCTGGAACACGTCTAAAAAATAAGATTAAAATAAATACGTAAACTTAAGAGAATAAGTAAATAAACCAACTAGTGCATAAAACTAGGAAAGAAACGCTCAACAACCTCCAAATATGTTTAAAGAGTGTAAAAAATTATGTCTGCAAAGAGATGATTGCTGCCAATTAAAGCAACTGGTCTCCAGACTTAACAAATGGTGCTTGGCCCTACCTATATGCCAATTAGAGGAGGGCACCTTGAGGCGGTGTAATTGTTAGGAAGCTTGTCTCGATAGAACAATTACCACTGAGTCGTGAGTTCGATCCTCACTGGGTGCCACATACTTTCGGCTTTGTGCCGCATCTAAGCTACGCTTGGAAAATTACTATGCCAATTAGAGAATGAATCTGTCGTGAAACACGACGAACACATCTCATTCTCCAATAGGGGTTGCCCGATTACCGAAATGTGTAACCACTGCGACACACGAGTATGCTTACTTGAATGCAGTCTGATATATTTAGGAACGCGTTGGTCCATTCTTCTTTTCAATTTAAGATTAGTTCGTCCTATATACTCAGCTTCACACTGACATTTGAACTTATAGGTAAGTGAACTCTTACTAAGATAGGACAGGCGGTCCTTAGTAAATGAAATAAACACTCGACGGGTGCCAAAAAATTACACGTAACTTGGCACGTAAGTTAGCAGAGACAGTCCTAGAAACTGTCACTCAAAATTTTACATTTCCTGCCAAGCCAAGGCAATTTTAGATAGATAGGACACAGACTAAGGCCGAATTTAGGAGACATGTTAAAATTATCTATCTTCCGTTTCATTGTACGATCAATAGTATTAATTGAAAAACTATTATTGATTAAAATAGAACGAATTTTGTTCAACTCTTGCAAAAAGTGTACATGAAGAACAAATCATTAAGGCCCAATGGACTAAAGATTTATTTTTCTGGTACCAGAGACAAAAGATTTCCAACTGGTGTAAAGACTTCTAAAATTGGCTTTACGGAACACAAAACATCAAGAAATGAAATAGAATTATTCTCCTCTTCCTATAATTTGAAGACCAAAGATGGATGTAATGAATATAAGGATTCACAAAAAAGAGTTGCTTCATCAATGTTGTCAAACTTAGAGTGGCATCAACATAACGTTGATAGATATATGGTTTCCGACACTTATTAAACAAAAGGCTCTGATGGTACCCAACAAAAATGTTGGCTATGAAGGGGCCCAAACGGCTAGCTATAGAAACTCAATCTACCTGGGCGTACATAACATTTTCGAAGCTAAATTCCACCCCTTCTGATGCTAATTTTAGGAACCTTAAAATTAAAGGCTCCGGAATAAAGGGAGGACCAAGGCAACCTCTATAGAGCCCGTCAACACATATCTGTGTTGTCTCTTGTAAGGGAACATTAATATAAAAACTCAAGATGTCAAATGAAACCAAAATCTTGTCATTAGAATTAATTGGACAATTTCTAATAAACTCCGAAAACGTAAATGAGTCTGATACACAAAAAGTTGAGAAGTAATCAGACACAGATTTTATCAACTCTGCCAATCATTTAGCCAATTCGTGCTGTGCTGAACCCATCATGGATAGAATAGGTCGTAAAGGCACAACATTTTTGTGATTTTTTTCTGCTCAGGCAGATTTGTGTTGGTTGAACACCCAGCGGGCCCACCTGTGGTTTACACTCTGCAGCGACTGGTGAACGAACCTTAGTAATAGTTTCTGGAGGAGAGCGTATAATCTGACATGATCACTAGTTTAAACAACACCAGTGCGTACAATCCCTCGGTCACGATGACTTGTGACTTCGTGCTAGAAAACCATCGACAGCTCCCGAACAGTTTCGTTTGCCCAATATCCCTCACAAGGCTGTAGTTTTCAGGCACTTTCCAATGAGCCGTATGCAGTGATCAACTGCCCAGAACGATAATACCAGGAAGTCAGTTACCTAACAAATCGATCAAAGTGAGATTCCAAACCGGGTAACTTGTTATATGTACCTTGTTTTCTGTGTCTACAGGAGAAAATGCAAATAATCAGATTTTTGAATAGGAATGATTTGCTAACTTAAAGATTCGAACTAACCGTTAATTGTCGGCACATTACGCCTTTGACAATCTTGCTAAACTTGAAAACTTAATAATCGTTTCTCTTATGATAAATAACTTAATAAACATTTTAAAATTCTCCTTAGTAAGTTTGATTGGGAGGTAATGTAGTAGATACATTATTACTCAAAAATTACTGGTAAAATTTTGTATAAAATTATGTAGGTCCGACTGATATTGTAACATTTTCTATTGTTTTATTTTTTTGTGTGTATATGTATATATATATATATATATATATATATATATATATATATATATATATATATATGTCTATTTATTTTATATAATCTGAGTGCACACCGTGAAATTAATATTAACAACATTGCGCTGCATAGAAATGATTGTTGTGAGGAAGTCTACAAACTTCTAAATTGATAAAATTAGAAAAATAATACATAGAGAATTTAAGTGCCTAAATTTGAAATTTACTATTAATACAAAATAAAAAAAATATAAACTTCCTTTATATAACATTAGACTTAATGAAAAAGATATAGCAACCTTATAAAAAAAAACCTAATACCAATCTTTTATATCCACCCGAAGTCAAATCATCCTCCACCTATAATAAAGCATGCACCTTCATCCATAGAAAAACGAATGTATGAATTCTGCTAATGAAAAAAATATTCTATGAACAAAGTTATTTTTATAATAAGGCTTTAAAGAATGGTGGATATAAAGGCCCTGACATTAATTATGTAAAAAAATGATAATAACAACCAGAGACGGAATAGAAATAGAAAAATCATTTGGTGCCCCCCCATTCAACAAAATGGTAATTTAGGACATAAATTTCTTGCTTTAATTGAAAAAAAAAATCTTACAAATAATACACTTAGCAAAATTTTTAATAAAACATACCCTAAGTTACAGTTGTACTGAAAATTTAGAAAAAAATTATAAAAATATCATAATAATAAAATTTCAAATGA